GGGGCGGAAAAATGGCCGCGGACCACGTGTCGGGGCAGAAAATGGCCGCGGACCACGTGTCGGGGTGGAAAAATGGCCGCAGACCACGTGTCGGGGCGGAAAATGGCCATGGACCACGTGTCGGGGCGGAAAAATGGCTGCGGACCGTGTCACGGGAGGGAAAATGGCCACATATCCTGTTCATACCCCGAGGCGGAGTTCGCAAACTGAGGTAAATTTTTGCGGCCGGAGCTGGTTGTAACCCAAAAAGTTCGTTAACAGAGGCGTTCGTAACCCGAGGTACCACTGTACTTGTTTGAGGTTATTGTCCTGACTTTGACAGTTGCATGATCTCTTAGTAAATATTATGATCTTAGTTTTCTCATCATCGGGAGGGAAAATGGCCACATATCCTGTTCATACCCCGAGGCGGAGTTCGCAAACTGAGGTAAATTTTTGCGGCCGGAGCTGGTTGTAACCCAAAAAGTTCGTTAACAGAGGCGTTCGTAACCCGAGGTACCACTGTACTTGTTTGAGGTTATTGTCCTGACTTTGACAGTTGCATGATCTCTTAGTAAATATTATGATCTTAGTTTTCTCATCATTAATATGAAGGTGGTTACCAGAGTAATATTGACATGGGATCCTCAAGGTTCTCCTAAGACCAACTTAGGAGATAGAACAATCACAACTTTGGCACAGAACTGGACTGAAGTCGCTTATCAACCAGCTGAAATGGTGGAGAGCAGATTGCACAGATCCTTGACTACGGAATTAATATACAAATTAAACTGTGAGTGGGCCCCTAAATAACCCAGCCTGACACTTTCTTGTGAGGGAAAAGAGCTTGAAGGCTGCCCCTGATGGCTGTATCTTAAGACCCTGGCCTAGAATTTCATGTAATTTGTAGATGTGTAGGAATGGCCTTCTATCATTCTTTGCAGCCATAAGTTTTTCTCAAAATGTTTCTCTGGAGTTGGAATCAAGAGCAGGTTTAATGCTGCACAGAGTGACATGGAGAGCTGTGAATATCTTTTTCCACCAAAATGGCCAAACACTCAGCTAAGAGGGCTTCAAATAAGTCCCTGGGTCTTGTGGATTCATCTGGAATGTTATAATGTCATCAAAATGAAATGCCCATCTGTGGCAGGAATATGGTCAATTGGGCATAGAGGCTGAATCTGGTGCCAAGAGGTACTGTGCCACAAAAGCCCTAAGAGGTCAATGTTTTCCCAGAGAAACCAGATTCTTGGTGGCACAAAACCATAAGTGGTTTTAGTAAACAATGACCTACAAGTCATGGTGTAAAGATCAGCATTATGGCAAACCCAGCTAATTGTAGTTTATTCACTAATCCATATTTAAGCTAACAGTGTTACAGTAATGGGACTTGCCAACCCAATCAGAGAATGAAGAATGCAGACTTGGTTGGATCCCAACCAAGGATCCACCAAACCACTCATCTTCTGGGAGCCCAGAAGACAAGGCAATGAAGGGAACATTGCCCACTAGGAGCCAAGGTGTATTCTTGTTTGCCCACTAGGAGCCAATATGCACTGATAGACTGCCTATGAATGTGGAGGTTCAGGAATAAGCTAGTCTGTAATAATGCCCCCTTTTGCCACTTAAGTTAGTGGCCATCATCCTATCTTACAGTGGCACATTTCACCCTTTCTCAGTTGTTTCCTGGGAAAAATCAAGATGTAGGCTTTGGCCTGCAAAGCCATAAGTCAGCCTTCTTCTGTCCGGGTGGCCCCTGAGCTATGGTTTCTCAGAATTGTCCAGTCTAGCACAGCCATTAGTGAGAAAGATCTAAATCTAGATATATGCAGAACTGTACCCACTCATTAAAACTTGCCTGTATTTTCCAATCATCATAGGAGGTCCTGGTTGACCTCCTACCATGTCAGAAAGGTAGGTTAGAAGGCACCTGAGGCACAGCCTTTTCCACCGTGGCCCCATGCTTATAGCATTGTGAATTTGGCTGACGGACTTCTTTTTCTGAGATAGGTAGTATTGTGGTTTGTTTCCCTCTAGCAGGCATTTCCTCTTGGCCTCGTTCTGCCTGGCCTGAGTTACTTTAGGATGGGCAGGGTTGGTTTTAAAAATGATCTTTATAAATCAGGAGGGAGGGAGGAAGATCAGAATGATTTTACTGGGTGATCTTGAGTTCTAATATTCTAAGAAGCGGATGGTATTTACCCTCCATTTTCTTCACCTTGTTTTCAATTATTTGTACGCATTCCAGAGTGTTGCAATAGTCATGCTGATTTCCTGCAGTATTTCTAGCATTGCATAACTCATAGTCAGCTGAAAACAAAGCCTTACTGTCACAGGAGACTGACTCCCTAAACCGAAGGAAACGTTGGGATGCAAACTACCCTGCCGGGTTGCAGACCTTTGATATTGATCTCCAAGGCCTTCTCCACCGCCTCGGCGATCCTTTGCACGGCTGTGTTGTTGGAGGGAATGTACGCCAGTTCCCAGAGGACGCCCGGATGCCAGAGATGGAAGAATTTGGGCAGTCTATCCACCTGCTTGCTGTGGTATAAGGTGGCATTGGGGTGATTGACTGAATGGACACGGTGGCGAAGGCCAATCAGGATGGCCGCAAACAACAAGGGGAGACAAATCTCAATGAGTGTGACCAAAATCTTCCGCTTCTGCAAGAAGGAAACAGAAAGGGTGCAAGTTAGGAATTTGGTGGAGTTACAACTGGGTGTTTACAGTTGAAGAGGAGCAAAATGGCAAGGGGTTAACAATTAGCTTGGCACGCTCCAAAGATGGAGAGCGTACAGGACCAGTCTGGAGGTGCATCCTTTTTTTGGGAGAGCCTACCAGGGGCATTGCAAAAAGCATTCATTTCTTGATTATTTATTGACACCGCTGTTCCAGAAAACAAGGTCCCTAGACTTCAGTGGACTGGGGCAAGAGGGTACCAAGGGACGGCAACAGCTACCAGCATGAATCAGGAGTTGCAATCCATTCTGGGTGCAGGTGTGAATTCATGTCCTCATATATTTATTCCCTGATACTAGGGCCCAAGACTGATGCCATGTAGCATTCTGTTTCTATAAGAAAGCCTCCTTTTGGCTGACTGAATCTTAAAACACAAAAGGTTGGAATAATGAATATGAATTCTAAGCTATTCTTCATTCTACTTCTCTTTTGGATCTGGGAATCTCTAATCTCATTTATTCAACCTGATGGCTTCTAGGTATCTTGGAACATCTCTAATTCTGATCAACATCTGGAGCAAACAGGTTGGGAAAGGCTCGTCATCTACTAAGGCAATTTTGAGACCCCTTTGCTGGTCATTGACCATATTTCCAAACAAACACATACTTTGAGACCCTTCTCGGTTGGTTTGTTCAGAAAGCAGCATATAATGCCTCATTCATCTTACAGACATGCCACATTCTCTTTGTGTTCACAACCCAATTTGCCATTGAGGGATTGTGGGAAGAGCGTTGGAGCAGATCATGCTTTTTTGTAGTAACTGCTGTCAAAACTACCAAGGTATCTGGATCACAACCCTTGGAGAGCTGTGAATCCATCTTCTTTGTAAATGCTATATGGTTTGTGGATGGGCCCTAGACTAATCAGAGTACAGCACATATCAATCTACAATATAAGGATTCTGGTGTGCTTTGAAAATAAACAAAGTGATGTCATTAGGACTTTGAGAAGTAGGTTTGGCTGGAAGACTGAACATTTCTCCTGGAGCTTGGAGTGGGTCGTGACTGAATGAGGACTGGAATTTCCAGGGTCCCAGGATCTGAACAACAGCACTGCAGTGACCACTTTTCTGGTTTCATGTACAGTATGCAACATTCACTAAGGAAAAGAGCAAGTAGGGCACGTGTTTTCCACGCAGATGTCTTCAGTTTTCATCCTGGCCACCTCCAGTTAAAATCACAACAATAACAACTGTAGGCAGCAAACCTTAGAAACCATCTCTGTTGGAGATCTACAGAACGAAGGCAACAGTCGTTGAAAACGATCAAGAGATACAGAGTGACTCAGTTATAAGGCAGTTTCATGGTTAGAACTGTAATTCCCAAAGCACATATTGGCTGCACAAACACAGGTTGATGTGTATACGTGATGAGCGCCAACCTTATGTAGCTAAAGCAACACAATCCAGGATGGATATCAGCAGACTTGGGGAACTTCCAAGATCTGCTGAAGTACAAGCCATCCTTTTTCAAGATCATTTCATTCTATAAAACACAGCCATCTCACGCAAAAATGTTTGAGTGGGCTGAGAGGCTGAGATGAAGCATGAGACGCTGGAATGGAGAATTGCATGTGGGGGTGGACATGGTTGGCTGGCAGTGGCCGGGAATCTGACTCTGCAACATTTGTTGAAGGTTCAGTTTATTGCTGCCATAGTCTGTAAGAGGCCAAGTTAACAATACCCTCTTTCTCCACACTTTGAGTAGCCATTTACTAGCCATTGATCAACTGCAGTAAGCTTTGTATCCTGTCTAGTTTATGTTTAATATGTTTTCATTAAGCATTCTAAGAAAAAACAAGGAGAAAAAACAAAAGAAGGAGGGCAAAAAGGGGATTAAAAAAGCAAAGTGAACAAACTGGGAATTTACAAGCCTGTACTTTTTCAATATTTCATTATTTAATTGTAAAGAACTCAGCATATTCTCTTGTTTTTTTAAAAACAACAACTCCAAATCACAGTCTAGACAGAATCTAAATACCGGGAACAGCAGTAAGCAAAATAGAAATAATAAAATAAGGTTATCAAATACAATGAATTATACTCATACTACTGAAGACCTGTTCTATTTAAGAGAACCTATAAAACTGAAATACTAGGACTTGGAGTAAAGAGAAACCTGAATTTTGGATACTGTAGGAAGAGAACCCTATTTGTCCATGATGACAAAAAAATCAGGAGTCGGATCTGCAAATTACAAATGTCATTAAGGGGCACCAGCTTTCTTGAGCTGCAGTTCCCATCATCTGATGTGTGAAATGGCTAGACTTGACGTAGGAGATAAATTTGAGTGACATGGGGGGAAATGGGTGGGGAAGACAGGTTGGTTATGCGGATGCAAACACAATGGGGTTTTCACACATGACAATTGTTCATTGATAAGGTACTTGTAATCAGTTTCACATGTAACCTGTATCAGCATGACCACCCTCTGTTCCCCCACCTCCCCCCAATTTAAACATTTCCTCCCACCTCCCCCCAATTTAAATCCTAGATCAGTCCAGCCACTCTATGCATCTGATGAAGGGAGATGCAACTCATCATCAAAAAAAAGTTAAGAAGACCAGATTTCTATCTTGAGCTAAGTCAGGGGTTTGAGAAAGAGAGAGAGAGGCCATCCTT